CCGGCTTTACTCGTGTGAACGGTCGCCTTTGAATAAATAAAAAAAAGACCACGGAAATTCCGTGCCAGACTGGCCTCGTGGTAAAACAAACCGCGTGGTAGTCAGGCGAACCGAGTTCGCGCCCGACTGTCGGCTTCATTTATAAAATTTAGCAAGAATCGAACCCGGATTTCCCGTCACGTCGTCCAGGGGGGAAGTTAGTACCAGAAGCGACCACTCCACGAGAGATGCCAAACTCCTCACCAATCATGCTTTTTTAAACCCATGTGGTTGTGGACCTATAATTACGAATGAAATGGAGAGCGTTTCGAGCCAGAATAGCCTAATGCTAAAGGACGTCCTGTGGTAGCCAGGCGAACCGAGTTCGAGCCCCACCATCTCACCATTTATAAATTTAGCAATAATCGAACCCGTGTTATACATCATGTCGTTTTCCATTCGACCACAAATCCTCCAAGTCGGTTTATATACTTGCACTGTGATGACAAGAAAGATAGCTAGTAGTCACTGACATCGCTGTGGGAATGACAGTCCAGTGGTGTACGACATTGATTTTTACCTGGCGAACTCAAGTTCGAGCCCCGGTCGGGTGAGGGTTCAAATATCTTGGTCTTTGTTGTTATGTTTGTGTTCCTCTGGACGAGTCGTAACTGGGAGAGTCAATTCCTTTTGTGTTTTTGCATTCTTGGCCAACACGGTGAATTTGGTTCCGATTGCTTGCCAAATGGCTTTGTGGCTTCCTGAACAACAGGGGGCGATATGGACCAAGGAGATATAATCTACAAAGAAGAAGAACAAGGGCATAACAAGAACGGTACCACATCCGGTTCAACGAGGAAGTATTTCCGCGGATGACAAGCCGGGCTCGCAGTGAGTAATTTTAACATTTTAATGAACTATATATAAATGTATTGATGCAGACATTTTCGGAGCATCATTACGGCACGTCACTCCCCTCATTCGTTGATTGTTACTTAGTCACTGGAAGTTATCGTAAAAACACAACAAAGGTGGCCAGTTCACATACGAGGGTAGATATGTCTCAAAACTATTCCCACAAATGCATCCGTGACTTTTTTGAAATTGTTTTTCTGAATATATTTGTGGTTTTCATAAAATAAATACTCAGTTACATAAAATACGTGTTGTGAATATCCACAAATATACTCGTCATTTTCACACGTGTTTTCGGGTCCCCAAATCCATTCACGATTTTCACGTGTTTCTGGATGTGGCGTGAGCATTTCTCATGACTCTGAGATCCCGTTTTCGTCCGTGAGGACGAGGCAGTGTTGCTGTCTCCAATTTACGGGAACTTGAGTGGACGGTAGAACGACACTGAGTTTTTTTCAACAGTTGAGCAGCTGATTGAAAGGAGGTTGCTCAATGTACTTCAGGTGTGGAGAGAAAGCCGCGAGCGGGCAGATTTGGAAATGGACGTGTTTGATGTGAAGGTCTGCCACTTACTCTGTGAAGAATAACACAAATCAGAACAAAAACCAACCCAAAAAAAAAAGAACTTTTTTTGTTGGGGGGGGGAGACAGAAGAGTATGACTTCCCACTTTTGTTTTTTCTGCCTGACTAGATTGAAGAGGCGACTGGGGCAAAGGTGCAGCCGACAGACTCGGAGGACATGCGGAAGGGACGCCAACCTGCATTTGGACACATGTGAGTATTGAGCCTTGTGTGCTTGAAGAGGTGATGCCTGATGTCACATTGTACCACAAGGTGGAGGTGAGTGCGCCCGCCTGTCTCTCACTCAATTTAAACTTCTGCTCCGTGTACTGCACAACATTGTCAACTACTCATGTTGTGGAGTACACGGCACTGAGTTTTTGTCTCAGTGAGAGAAGTCGGATGTGCTCATGTCCCCCTTGGTGTGTCATGAGATGTGACATCACACATGAGCTGGTCAAGCACATGCAAGACTTCAGCTGCTCCCATCTCTGGCCTGTCGTCAGTGTTTGTGTGTGTGCAACTTCAACTGGCCCACGCAAACATTGACTGGTAAAATGCTTTCACATTGTCCTGTTAGCTTTTCTGTCCAATAAATTGTTGAACTTGAATTCGAGTCTTTGCCTTTCATGACTAAGTCCATCCTCAACTCACTCGAAGCCTTTCATGCTGAGTGGTCACTGCAGCGGAAGACTTCTCAAAGACTTAAGTTTTGAGGAGAGAGTTGCACCATCAGTCACTTGTATGGCCACAAGTGTAACACTGCTGTCCCGTTAGTCTCCACATGACTCGAAACTCCAAGAATTGAGCTTTTGGGTCATGTGAAACCGACGGGAACAGTGAAAAGACTGTCTGGTGTGCCCGAAGTGCAACTCTCACCTCAAAACTCAAGTGGGACTTAGAAATTTTTCTGCAAAGGCTGCCCAAACCACACCCAATTTGACGTCCACCAATCACGGCGAGGCCCTCATTTGCATAAATTTGCATAGCCAATCAGAACGCTCCGATTTGCATAACCACGCCCACTTTCCAGAACCCGACCAATCAAATCGCTCCAAATCTGCATGACCACGCCCACCAACTAGCCGGCCAATCAGGGCGCACCTAATTTGCATACGCACACCCTCGTTTCCGCCAATCGCAGCATGTTATTGCCATGCCCCACCCACTCTCACAGCCATCAGCGAATCATGAGCCTGCATTCCAGCTACGCCACACCCACTTTCCTCGATTTTTCTGCCGGGGAAGAAAATCCCAGAAAAAAAAAATCCAGAAAAAAATATTTGGAAAAAAAATTTTTGATAAAAAAATAGGAATTTTTTTTTTTTTGGTTAAAGGTTTTAAATTGTTTTAAGTTATATTTTTGTGATGTGTTTAAGAATGAAGTTGAGAGTTTAAGTGTTCTTTGTAATTAAGCTTTATTTCTTTTGCAGAACAGACAATCACAAAGCAGAGGAAAAAGTTGCAAGTTGGATGGCAGTCTGCACGTCGCTGGGTGGTGAAGTAGTCGGCTCATGAGAACGTCGGACAGGTGCGTTGACCTGAGAGGAAAGACATCCATAAGTTACACGCAAGTCAATGTCTTGTGCAGACAAAGATGTTTTCGGCATGCAACTTACCAGCCAGGGAGACATGTTGTTAGGTCTTTTGTGCAGGAAACTGATCATGTTCACTGCCGCTTCTAGAAGGGGGGGGGGGGACAAAAAAAAAGTCAAAAAGTAGCCATGCTGGTGCATTGGAAGAGTGTACACATCTACTTTTAAGGCTGCAGCACCTTGCAAATAACAGTAAGATGAAACGTGAAAGTGTGGCCTGCAGATCTGTGCACTCTGGCGGTGAGCAAGTTACTTCCTCATGCGGCGTTGTGGACCCAAGGACTGTTCAACTCTGCAGAGATGATGAAAACATGATTGTTGAAATGAAATGTGACTTCTTACCAGCAGGTGGCTCAGTCACGTTTTGCCTCATCACACTCCACTGGCTCATCTGGATGAGAAAGCACAGGAGAGGAGACACCAATTACTAACCAAAAATGTTGTTCCATTTTACTCTCCGCTGCTGCCGCACGAGCTCTTCATTTTTCAACTTGCTTTCAAGTGTTGATTCACTGGAGACTGGAATCTTTGGCTGCAACACGGTGAGCGTCATCAGCACAAACAGGTCAAGCTGCTCCTGGTCCAGTGACGAATCCAAGGCTGTCAAACCTGCCAATGCAACAAACGAGACCCATCCAGCTCCTTTTTCATACCTTTGAACGGCAACGTTAAAAAAAAATGGAGGCAGCAACTTGCTACAAGCTTGTGGCATTTGTCTCTTTGCCCAGCAGGTGGAGGTCTCTGACAGCACTGACTGGAAGCTAGCTGCACTGCATGCAGAGTCAAAGAAAAAGCAGGTGAGTGTGCTTGAAAATAAAATATGTGGTGCTTTTTGGTTGCAGCTTCCATCAGCTTACAGCGTGTGCGACATCAGGTGGATCATGACGCCATGTTTCCTCAGGGCCCGCCTCCAACCAACAGTTCAAGGACTTTGAAATTTTGCAACAGGTCCAAACGTCGAAGGGGACGACTCGAGTTCACAACGTGTATCTGGTTCTTTAGCACCACCTGGTGGACGAGAGCAGTAAAACATGCACGTTGAGCATGCGCCTTCAATTCACTTCCCAGAGGTCACTCTCCCGCCCGTTTCCCCTCCCCCATTGACCCTTGGTACAACACACCAGATTGAAATGATCAGATATTCGCCAAGGTCTGAGAAAGCCAGACAGCCATCTGATCATTTGGATGAGTGTGCGAGGGCCAAAAAAGAGCCCCGCCACGTTTGATTTTAGCCACAGGTGTGCCGACTCAACCAGCAGGTCAACGAGCTCCCGGAAGCTGGTTGAGTAAATGCTCCTTTGGTTGAAGCCAAACGTTCCTAAATTTCTGGATTTGACACCTCTGCTCAATCTTTAGTCAATCACCTGCTGATTTAATTACGAGTACTCTCACATGTGCGGCTTTGGGAAAATGTTTGCTTTATTTGTGAAGAGAGCAGAGCTGGACGCTTCTTCGACAGCACGGTGGCCTGAAAGACACGGTGACGTTAGCTCTTGACTTTTAAATATTCAACCTTCCAAGCGTGTCTTAGCACACAGATATTTGGAAGACATGTAAAAGATCTGCTCGAGTCTTGTGAAGCCAGGGCCCAAAACGCCACAGGATGGCAGCCATTTTAAGGGTCATTCTGTCGAGGTGAGCCTGCGCAGACAGAAATGAGAATCGACACATTTGGGATTTAGTCTGATATGTATTCAAATGCTGCAATTTTACCTTGTTGCAGTCAATTTGGCCACTCTGTAGAAGAAGCAAAGCCTGTGGACAGAAAAAAAAAGACAATTTAGTTGGGCTTGCTCGAAATGGTTCACAATTTAAATTCCACATTGAAACGCACAGCAAGTGACACAGTTTAGACGCCATTTTAAGATTTGTACCTGTGAACAGAAATGACACAATTAGTATGCACACATGCGTATTAGTTCGGTTTAATTGTGAATTTAGAAATGAGTTTTGTCTACTTACCCGCTCGACGAACGTAGCTTTCCTAGGAAGTTGGGGGGAAAAAAGCGTTTGTTGCAAAGTAAGGTCGCAGGAGGCGTTAATTGCAATGCTCGAGCAAACATTTTTGCTTTGCGTGTTTTGCAGGGTGTGAGCACGTTTAAAGTGCTTCTTTCCGTTCAAAGTGAGGGAAAGCGTTGTTTTAAGATACTATTAAAGAGTAAAAGTCACCTTGTTGGAGATTTGCGTGATCTTGACAGGCGTGCGGAGCAGGAGCAGCGTGCGGACGAGCGGAGGCTGTCGAAGGTGAGACAGAATGATTGCCTTGTTTTTCCGATTTAAATAGGTTTCCGGCGATGACGTCACTTCCGGAAAGAAAAATAAAAGCATTTAAAACAGGAAGTGTGGAAAAAAGCTGTAGATTATATCTCCTTGGTCCATATCGCCCCCTGTTGTTCAGGAAGCCACAAAGACATTTGGCAAGCAATCGGAACCAAATTCACCGTGTTGGCCAAGAATGCAAAAACACAAAAGGAATTGACTCTCCCAGTTACGACTCGTCCAGAGTAACACAAACATAACAACAAAGACCAAGATATTTGAACCCTCACCCGACCGGGGCTCGAACTTGAGTTCGCCAGGTAAAAATAAATGTCGTACACCACTGCACTGTCATTCCCACAGCGATGTCAGTGACTACTAGCTATCTTTCTTGTCATCACAGTGCAAGTATATAAACCGACTTGGAGGATTTGTGGTCGAATGGAAAACGACATGATGTATAACACGGGTTCGATTCTTGCTAAATTCATAAATGGTGCCGATGGTGGGGCTCGAACTCGGTTCGCCTGGCTACCACAGGACGTCGTTTACCATCAGGCTATTCTGGCTCGTAATGTTCTCCATTTCATACATAATTATAGGGCGACAACCACATGGGTTTTAAAAAAAAAAAGCATGATTGGTGAGGAGTTTGGCATCTCTCGTGGAGTGGTCGCTTCTGGTACTAACTTCCCCCCTGGACGACGTGACGGGAAATCCGGGTTCGATTCTTGCTAAATTTTATAAATGAAGCCGACAGTCGGGCGCGAACTCGGTTCGCCTGACTACCACGCGGTTTGTTTTACCACGAGGCCAGTCTGGCACGGAAATTTCGGGTTTTTTTTTTTTTTTATGTATTCAAAGGCGACCGTTCACACGAGTAAAGCCGGTTAACGTCTTTGGTCGAGCGGTCACTTTGGGACGCGCTTTGCCTTTGGGCGACGTGAGGCACTCAAACCTCACCCAAAACCATCGACCCCGCCAGTATTCCCAACCACTGCCTGCCTTCATCATGCCATCCTGACATTTACAAAGCCAACTTCGTTATAGATTGAAGACGAGTATCACAAAGAGATAGTGTCATTTTGCATTATTGGCGAACGTGAATAAAGTGCAAATAAAACATCCATCCGCACACTTCCAAACGTGTAAGCCAACTTTATTCATTGTCTCGAGGAGCTTTGTTGATCAGGGCAACACCGTTGGAACAGTCGAGACGTCAGTCTCGTCTGTGTGGTTGCGGGGTGGTCACCACTGCTGGTCCCAAAGGGGCTGAAGTACCTGCAACACCCAAAGGATCACGCTAAAATCAAACTTCGTTTCAGATTGGGGAGGAAACATCGGATGACTTTCTGAGGGCCCCGATACCCCCCACCCCCCAAAGTATTCACTGTCTTGCGGAATATACACCAATCAATACGATCGGACCACTTCCAAAACAAAGTTTACCCAACTACGACAATGCGTCAATCGGAGGCTTGTGTGTCGGCGGGCGGGGGGCGACGTTCCGACCATCCGGCAGAGGATCATTTGCCAAAATTCTGCCAACCGCTTTCTGACAGCTGTTATGAAAGCGCTGTCGATATCAAGATGTGCTGTGTAAAATTACCGCATGCATTTTTTCTGAATATGCTCAAAATGTCTTTGTGGTGTTGAGCTGCTGGGGGGGGGGGCTGTTTGGAGGTGGTCGCGTTAAGTCGTCGCCTCCTTGCTCCGAGTACACCCGCATGAACTGCAGCAGAATGCGGTCAATTCCCAGCCCCTGCGTCACAGCCGGACAGTCTCACAAACATTTCGGTCTCAAACTCCAGCGAGGGTGCGCCATTGGCAAGGGAAACAAAAAACCCGATTTCGCTTTCCAATGTCAGTAACAGCAGGAAGAATCATTGTAAAATTCGACCGCGAACGCTCGCGCTGGTCGTCGAAGGTGGTGACACATCAAAACAACAAAAGGTCTTCATGAAACGTAAGGGCCCCGTCTAGCGGTGCACAATAGGAATGACAAACCTTCGACTGAAGTGGCTCACAACTTTACAAGTGTTATCCCACCAAAAAATTACAACTCTCTGGGTACCTTTGTCGGGGGAGGGTTCAAATATCTTGGTCTTTGTTGTTATGTTTGTGTTCCTCTGGACGAGTCGTAACTGGGAGAGTCAATTCCTTTTGTGTTTTTGCATTCTTGGCCAACACGGTGAATTTGGTTCCGATTGCTTGCCAAATG